TCGAATATAATAAATGGATTAAACGAACTTACCTAGTGAAGTTCTATCCATATTATATGAAGAAATTAGTCCGAGGTATGAAAATCCCACCCTCCCAAGAATAATCTTCGATTATTCTTCCCATATGTAGGTACCTAGTACCACTGCTCTAAACTGAATGACAAAGCATAGCAGTGTTGCCAGGTGCCGCTTTTATTTTTCTTCTAAATCTAAAAAATCGCGTCGAAGAGCAACAGAAGGCGGCTGCTGCTAGTATATATTATATAAGGTATATAATATATACCTCGGACTAATTTCTTCATATAATATGGATAGAACTTCACTAGGTAAGTTCGTTTAATCCATTTATTATATAGAATTTAGTGGTAAGTAGGACTTAGAGTAGAAAACATTGTGGGCGATTTCACGGCTTTTAATAATTGTAGAGTGTGCATCTCGACGGTTTTCCACCAGTGCGGCCTAAGCCGTCAATATATTGGCGGCGGCGACCTCTCGCACCCGGCCTTAGTCGAGGCCATGGTGCGGAGCGAGAGGAACTGGGAAACCGTCTCCTCTTTCTGTAAAGCAGTTATGCTCGCAAAAAAGGAGGCGGTTCGCGTGATGGAAATATCCTCCTTGTTTTTCACGTCGGGGATCGAGAGATGACCCCGGCCAAGTGCGGGTCCTGTATGGTTGTTTCGTATTGTGGTGCCAAATTGGAAGGTTCTAAGTCTGCTAGCAGAAAGTAAATAGCCGCAAAACGCTTCGAGTAAACGAAATGGTGTATGAAAAATCGAAGACGATTAGATGCACCGGAAACTTAATAAATGCGTAGATGATAAAATAATATATCACTCTGTTGGACACTATCTATCTGCGACTGATGATTGGAAATACCTATCTATAGGTACTTAATTACAAACACTTATGACAATATTTAGATTTTTATCATGTAAAGCTGGTAATTATAGAATTATGTAGATAATGATGATAACTCATTGAATCGTTAAGCTGAAGGGAGGTAAACACAGAGCTGTTTATGTCTAAGACCAATTAGGTTTTGTCCAGGGCGCCAGGCTGCAAAGGGGCGCCACGAGGCGCGCTTGCCTTGCTTGCGATTCGGAATATGTGTAAACAAAGTGCCCCTACAATTAGGTACTGCTTATCTAAGGCACTCGCCAAGTTTAACCGACTCCGTGCGGATGATGCCGCACAGGCACCATGTAAATATATTGCGTATGGCGTATGATGCCCGAGAGGATACAAAACTAAAACATAAAAAACTCGGCTAAAACGATATTTGCCAAAAGTCCCGTAAATAAATGTGTCTTTATTTGTCACCCATATCATGCCCACAGTGTTCGTTTCAAGTATTTTCGTAAATTAGCAGACTTCAGGGGTTGAAAACCTAGTGGTCGACTCCCATTTTATTATTGATTATATTTTTTTTCTAACAGCCAACTTTCTGGAATGTCTGTTTCTTTGACTGTCCATACTCGATACGAATTCGACACCAATGCTAACGTGTGAATGAGACACACGATCGCAGACAGAGAATGTTACTGGGTATGCGAAATTGATTGTACCTTTGTCGCAGTAAATTCTATGTGAATATAAAATAATACACATTTTTTTTTCATGCCAGTATATCAACTATTTTAAATTTTATAGACATTTAAAAATCCCGTTAACTTACAATGGAAGTGTTAATGTCACGTCACAGGTCATACACCTAGTCCTACCGTCGGCGCGTAAATTTTCCGATGCTTTGGTGGTAGTGCTTTCAAATTTTGGCACAACACATGATATGGTACGAAAACAAATTCTATAGAACACTTGTGAATAAATAAATTCATAAAATAATGCAAAAAGGTTTACAACCCCTGATAGAAATTAGTCACTTACCTTCTATTTCCATAAAAACACACAGATAGTTAATTTTAAACGCATTGAACTAATTCACTGAGCGTTTACGTTCGATACCCAATGGCAAATGACTCTTTAGCAAGTGGAAACACGAAAAAAAGCTAAAAGTTACAATTTACGGCGGATGATTCCCCTGGGGAATCATGAAAGTCTCTGGCGCTTGGTGCCCCACAGGTATCACGGAATTTTTGTTCGACGCCAGGCACTAAAGATTGCTACAAAGACCTCCGCACGGAATCGGTTAATTCACCTCTGGATAAACATGATACGTAGGTAAATTATGACGTGATTAATGGCGCAATATATGGCGTCTAGCTATTATGCAATAGTAGGGTTGTCATCTTTAACATCTGTCAACCAGGACAATAAGTGTGAAATTATACCCCTGATATTTTTAAAAAGATGCTCTTAATCTTACTACTATTCGATGTAAAATATAGTTTTAGATAATTTTTAAAATTCTATTTGTGAGTCGGTTTTTAGCGGCGTAGGTGCAGTGGCAACCCTATGCAATAGCATATTGCAAGTATTATTTTCATTATACGCCCCCTACTTATTACAGAGGCAAATCGCTTCGAGAGGAAACACGTTTTTTTAATATACTTGATAGGTCGGCAAACGAGCAGACGGATAACCTGATGGTAAGCAATCTGCGCCGCCCATGGATACCCACAACAACAGAGGAGTAAAACGATGAATGCGTTGTCGACCTTTTGGGGATTTGGAGATTTAGGGTTGGGCAGGGATTGGGGGAGAGGAAGGATTGGGCCTCCGGTAACCTCACTCACACGGTGAAACACAACGCTGTGGTTGTTTCACGCCGGTTTTGTGTGAGGCCGTGGTATCACTCCTGTCGAGCCGACCCATTCGTGGAGAAGCATGGCTCTCCCCACTTATATAAAATATTATACTGCATTTATTAAAAAATATATAACTCACGTGAATTAACAGATGAGGAAAACTCTTAGTATTCATGCCTACAACAACAACAACAGTCGGCTGTATCAGTTCCGCTGTGACTTGAAACTAGTAGGTAGAGCTTTTCTCAGCTAATTCACGTAGGTAGGTAAGTCGTTGTAGAACAAATATTGATTCTACTTCCGCAGCTCGACCCCACAGCAAAATTCTGTACGTAGCTAAAATAGACAAGCTTTGCTGTGTTCACGTCTGTGAGCTGTCTTATCTAACTGCAAAAACAGCAGAGCTTAGTCTCTCCGAAAGCGTCTTGAATGGAGCTGTTTACTTCGTCAAAACTATTAGCACTTCGACTTATTTTAAAAATTACTGATGTATCATCTGCAAACAGCACCATACTTGGCTCAGTTTTAAATAGAAATGGCAAGTCATTAACATACACAAAAAAGAGAAACGGATCCAATATTGAACCTTACGGAACGCCCATTCTTATCTCAGATGTTGTGAGTTAGAACCACCTACATGAAGTCTCAGCTGCCTATCCTCTAAATATGATTTTAGTAGGTAGACGGAGTGCACTATGTCTAATCCCGTAATGATCTAATTTCAGCAAAAGTGTTTCATGATCAACGCAATCGAACGCTTTTGAGAGGTCGCAAAAGACACCAACAGCATCCTGTGCTTCCTCCCAAGCACCGAATACTTCCTTTATCAATGTGACACCGGCGTCAGTTGTACAACGACCTTTAGTGAAACCGTATTGTTGGTGATGGAAGATGGCATGTTTATCAAAGTGATGAAGCATCCGAGATAGCATTAACTTTTCGAACACTTTGCCGGCAGAACAGAGACAGGCCTATAGTTGTTTGGTTCCTTAGTGTCACCATTTTTGAATAATGGAATAACTCTATTGTATTTTATTAGGTTTGGGAAGACACCGTCATCTATAGGTACTTTTATTGAAAATCAAAGCCAGATACGGCGCTAAAGTTCAGATAAGTGATCCGCAGACTTTCACCGATAGTCTCCAAAGGTCGTCAGTTGATTTCACCTTGACTTCTTTAAAAACCTTTATTATTTCTAAAGGATTAGTATAATGAAAACTAAAGTCGTATTCGCATGATTTGACACTCTCTCTAAGCAAAGTTGCCCATAGTCTGGCTGAAAAAAAAGTCTCAAACTCCTGAGCTACATCTGTACTTGACGAAATCTGTCCCCTTTCTGTGTTTAAGCAAAATACCGAATGTACCTGTCTCATTCTGTATTATTTTCCACGTAGCCTTTATCTTATCATCAGCTGATTTTATTTTATTACTGATGAAAAGACGCTTTGCGGTTTTGCATACTAGGTATTCTAAATGTACAATTTTACATGTTGATGAAAAGGGGGGGTCGCAATTGTACCTATGGTTTCATGCCATAAAATTCAAAAAGTTTATCTCTACTCTAACGAATACCTGCGGTAGCCCAAACGCTAAACTGAAACTTAGCATAGACGTCTTTATATTTCATTGGAAAAATAACTCGAAATTCCCTATTTAACACCGCAAAAATTTTTTCGTATAACCTGCTTGGATTTAATACCTACATCAAAATTTTCTATACTTAATTTAGATGTAGATGCTAATGAATCATTGAGTTTCTCTAAATTTTTATTTGTAGTATGTCTAAACTTCAAGGCCACTGTGGTCAGAGGTAAACTGTTTAACTTTTTTTCTAAATAGTTACAGTTACTGAAAATGTTATCAATACATGTGGCTGTGGAGGGTGTTATCCTAGTCGGTTCTAGAAAAACATTTTTCAAATTAAATGATTCTAACAAATTTAATAGCTCCATGCCACTAGCATGTTCTCCAATAAATTTATATTAAAATCGCCACATACAAGTACTGATTTATGGCTAGAACATACCTTCCTCAAAAAATCTTCCATTACAGAATCAAACAATGCAAGATTCTGATAATTAGGTGGTCTATAAAGGTTTGATGTGAAGTCAAAAATCAAATTTAACATTTCAGCAGACAGGAGTTGTTTGCAGAGATATTAGGTCTATAAATCTGACTTACAGTAGGTAATCTGTAAATAAATGTACCTACCTATTACTATCTAATATTTTACTTTATTAGCAGTAAGTATAATACAATCAAAACAATGATATACACATAGTAATAAAAAAAACACCCAAATAGACAACAAAATATTTAATGTATGTAGTTATTATAAGAATACTTAATATATGTAACTTATTAATAAATTAAACATAGCTATTTCTAATGTTGCACAGTAGAAATGTGGTAATACTTCTTATCATCCTCACTTATAGTGTTAGGAGCGCCTGACAGAGGATCCCTGCCATCATGTGACTTAGGGAATGCAATCACTTCTCTGATAGATTCAGCATCACATGCCAACGTAACCAGTCTATCAATTCCTAACGCAATCCCAGCATGCGGAGGACAGCCACACTTCAACGCATTCAAGAAATGCGATAACTTAGAAGAGTCAATATCCAAAATCTTCAATAACTTTTCTTGTAACTCTGCATTGTGGACTCGGACCGACCCACCACCAATTTCATTGCCATTCATAACTATATCATACGCTAAGGATCTTACTTTTAGTGGTTCAGTGTCTAGTAAATGAATGTCATCCGGATGAGGTGATGTAAAAGGATGATGACAAGTTTCTAAGCCATTTTCTCCTTTCACAAATAAGGGGAAGTCTACAACCCATAATGGTTCTACATTTTCTTTTACTTGAAGCAAATCCTTCGATTTTAATATGGAAGCCATTATTAATCTTATTTCTCCTAAACATTGGCAAGCATTTTCATCGTCACCTAAAACTATTATTGCAGCTTCGTCTCCGATTACGCTTTGGATTCTTGCTCCTATTTCCATTCCCAATTCCTTTGTAACATTTTCATTTAGTACAACTTTACAAGAATATTTTTTGGCATACTCTCTAATTTTCTCTTTGTATTTTGTAGTTAGTTTGCCAATTTCCTTAGAATATGGAAGAGCATATGCACCAAAGTCTTCCTCATTAGATTTTTCAGGGAATAAATTCTTTATATTTATAAATTTCAATTCAAATGTTAAATTTGGCTTGTCTGATCCATAATTTTTTAATGCATCCTTGTATGTCATTCTTCTAAAAGGCGGCTTTGGCAGTGGCTTTACAAAAGTTGCATAAAGTAAGTGTTCAATCATAGTTAGGACTCCATCTAAGTCTGTAAAAGATAGTTCAATATCCAACTGTGTGAATTCCGGCTGTCTGTCTGGTCGAGTGGTTTCATCTCTGTAACATCTTGCCACTTGGAAATATCTATCAACACCTCCTGACATGAGCATTTGCTTAAATTGCTGTGGACTTTGGACTAGGGAGTAGAACAATCCCTCATGATGTGTGGGCACTACAAATTCTCTCGCTCCACCAGGAGTCCTACAAAACAATGTTGGGGTCTCAACCTCAACAAAACCATGATTCTCAATCAAAAATCTTCTCATATTATGTAGCATGTGTGAACGGACCCTTAAATTATTCTGCATTTCTGGAAACCTTAAGTCTATGTACCTGTGCTGTAATCTAAGCTGTTCTTTAGGTTTTTGGTAATCTCTCAGATTGAAAGGCAGCTTATCAACAGTGTTGAGTACCTCTAACTTTGTCATAACAACTTCTATAACACCAGTAGGCATAGTCTTATTGATCATGTCTTTTGGTCTTAATGCTACTGTACCTTCAATCTTTACAACTGTTTCTAAAGGAATATCGGAGAAGCTTATGTTGTCGTCGTTCACTATGCATTGTGTCAGGCCATATGCGTCCCTAAGTAGAAGGAATTTGGATAACCTAGAGAATTGAATCCATCCACAAAGAGTGACCTTCTGTCCTTCATGTTCCGGCCTTAGTTCTCCACAATTATGTGTTCTATACGTAAAAGTATTGCAATTCTGATTATCTACTAATGTTTGTACACTCTCTTTAATTTCATGTAAACCTTTCGTCGGATAAAAAGATGGATTATAGGTTATGTTTTTATCATGAAGTGAACTATTATTAAAACTTGCAATTGACTTCTGTCCGCGTAATAAAGGCTTTGTCTGGCGGCAACACGATGAAACCGAGAAGTATTTCAAACACGTTCTGTTTAAATTCACGTTTCTCGTTAACATTGTGTTTTGTTTGCAAACTTAATAAAATTATATCAAAAACTTGTTATCACAGTATTTCAATTAATGTCCAAAACACATTACTTCCTTGTTTTACGGAAACCAACTGTAGGAAAGCAGACTTATTAGAACTTATTTTAATATTTGATTGTTTACAACTTTCTGCTTACAATCTGATTTGACAATAGACATTTGAACTGACACTGACAGATTGAAATGTCAACTGTCATAAAAGAGAAGTTTAGTTTTTTAACTTGGTTAAAACAAATCCTTTTAAGACTGACCCTTTGACAATAGGACTGGTAAATTAAACGGTCGCGATAATAGTTTGTCTCAAGTGCACGTAACTAAAACTGAATTCTACGAATTACTGCACATTTGTACCTGTATAATTGGGAACTTTAACTATGCTACAACTAGGAGCGCGCCTTACGCAGGGCCGGTTCGAGGCCAGGGATTAAGCCTTAGATTAGTGCTGCCCCTGATAGTTGAAAAGACGTATCTAACAAAAAGTAAAAACGGAGAAAAAAATGTTTTAGTGAATGAAACAAGAAATTGTTTGCTGTGTTCGTGTGAATTAAAATATTTAGATATGAAAAGTTGAAAATAAAGCCCATTAAAAAGACCTTTGACATGGTTTAATAATAATATGAATTTATTAAATTATTATAATAAAAATATTAGAAAAACCTTTTCATTTTAGCATAAAAAATTAGGAAAAATATCACATACTTTATTGAATAGACGTAAATGGCTAGATGCGTCCTTTAATTTTCAAACGCCTTTGCCTGTACTTTTCTTCTAAGTATTTATATTATTTATCTAGTATATATTTTTAACAAAAATGGGCGCATATGGTCATTTCCGCCTTTTTTCTTAAGAATAAATAACTTCATAGATGTCCCTTGACTAAGATAAAATGTTTAAATAATAATTTAATAATTCTTTTATTTATGGTTTAAATGTTAATAAACTCGTAGTTATCATAATAATAGTTTATTATGATGACTACGAGTTTATTAATGCATTATTATTAAATAAAACGCAATTGATACAATGAAATATTTATTTAAAATGCTTTTGACTAATAACAAAACACAAAATGCTAACCTTGGCATATTCAATTATAATTTAAATTAGAACTATAAGAATTACACTTGAGCAATGTCACGGTGTTAAGCATTATCAGTCTTAAACAGGTACAGGTCCATTATAAATCTCTTATATCTTTATTTATCACACTACTATAAAAAGTTTTTTGCCAACAACATTATTATAATTAAAGTAAAAAAAAACAATATCAAAAGAAACAAAAACATCACTCTTCATTTATATTTTAACTGGCTCGAAAACTTAAAATTATATATGACGGCGCTGGCGACTGATTATGGATTATTTTTAATAACAAAGATAATTGTATTGTCTTTACAATTGATTGTTAATCATAACTCAAATTTTAATTTATTGGTAACATTATTATGAGCTGGTAACCCCGAATAGGGTAGTAAGTGTCACTACGAGGAATGGCAGCGGGCATCTTGCTGACAGCTGCCAGCCGAAGTGTACACGCTAACCTATTGCTCGCTAACCTATTATTATTTGCTCAAATTCTCATTCCATCTTATTGATTGTCGGACACGCTACTATAGCAGCGGTAAGACCCCTCTTTGAGGAGTGGCTTGAGAGACGCCACGGCGTCCTCACCTTCCGCCTGACGCAGGTGCTTACCGGGCACGGCAGCTTCGGTAGGTTCCTGTTTCGAATCCAGCGGGAGGAAACGCCCGAGTGTCGTCATTGTGAGGACCACCTAGAGGATACGTTGGAGCATACGGTAACGGTATGCCCTGCCTGGGCTGAGCACCGCCGTATCCTCAGGGAAGTGATCGGCGGCGGCGACCTCTCGCGCCCGGCCTTCGCGAGGCCATGGTGCGGAGTGAGAGGAACTGGGACACCGTCTCCTCCTTTTGTGAAGCAGTCAAGCTCGCAAAGAGAGAGTCGGCCTGCGTGAGGCAGCAATCCTCCTCCTCACGCCCCAGCAGCCGCAACTGGCGACACTACTGGCCCGGACTAAGCGCTTTGCCTCGTCATTTATACCGCGTACATCGAGGGATTGGAACAGTTTGCCGGCTGCAGTCTTTCCGTCCAAATATAATTTAGGTGTCTTCAAGGCTAGAGTGAATAGGCTCTTAATAAACTAGTGCGCCTTACCATCAACGATTGCATCACTGCTTACCATCAGGTAGGATCGCAGTCAAGCACTAGTTTATTTATAGCAAGTAAGTAAAGTAACTACGGGCGTCGGGGATCAAGGGACGATCTCCGGCCACCGTAAGCACGGGCCTGCGGTCGGCGAGTAAGGGCAGCTCGCCGCCCGAGCAGAACCAGGCTCGAGTGTACGGCGCGTAGCGGTCCGCGCGCGCCTCAAAGAGCCAATAGACCACCACAGACGGGGGCCCTAAATGGCTGATGTTCAGCCGGGGTTGCGGGGTAAGCGCAATGAGGAACCGCGACCTCGGCACAGAGAAGGAGAAGGAACAGGAGGGTTTTTAGTCAGTAAGAGTCTGACACTCCCTCCCGCCCGACCCTGGGCGGGAGAAGTCATTTGATGATTTTCCCCTCACAAAAAAAAAAAATATTGATTGTGTGATTGTGAATAAAATAGCGAGGAAACCAAATAATACAAGCGTGCCTTTATTTTTAATTCCGGTCGTTACAACGCCCAAGATAGAAAGTGACAACCATGACCGCCACGAGGCTCCTTCTGACGCTCAGAAGTGGGATTACCTGTAACGACTCAGGAACAGAATACAGGTCAGCACGTTAATATTTCACAAGATAAGGAGATTAAAATATGGAAACGTCTTTTTAAAATGCAGCAACAAAGTATGATATAATTCATTCGTACTATACGGGAACCACGTGCAGCCAGCACGAAAATAACGTCACCTGAGTTTAATCCTGATACTCCAGAGCACGATGCTTGCGCCTGATGCGAAACGATGGACATATGTTTACAAGAGAAACCTATTTCCAGCAGCGATTTGATAATCACAATGAGCAAGGCACTCAAGGAATTTTTAGCTCGATTTGATTATGTCAAAACTCTAGCTGCGACATTATGCAGGCTTTTCAATGAAAGTCCCAATGATGGAGAATGCATGTCGTCTTGCGCAAGTCGATTTCTGAGTACATTAATGAATCAGTGGCATACACTATCAACTAAACAGATTGTAATCACTTATATCAACTAAACAGATTAAAATTGAACTACGATTGCAAAGACTGTCATACGCTCTGTAGTTTCTACTCCAGTAGGTACTATTTGTACTTTCCGTACTAGTGGAAGCTAAAGCTTTACCTATTAACTAACTCAAAGCATCGACCTCTTTTCATGTTAGTTTGATATTATTTTTTATACCAAAACAGAAAATAATAAATATACCTACTTACTTTATACGACGAATTACGCAGCGAAAGCTTGCGCAACCGCGACACATCTCTTCAACAACTTACTCGGGCGCAACTGGCAAAGAAACTAGTCAGGCGCCGTACAAAACATACCCCCCAACACCCCGCGCAAGCTTCGCTTTATACACAATTTTTTTAAAAAAGGACGTATATGCACGTTTGCGTCTTTTTTATTAACTAACTGTTGTTTAATTTTTTTTTAACGTAAGTTATTAAGACGCTTATGGCAAATACGTCTATGCGAAATCAATTTTACGAAATAAATAGGGCGCAAGTTGTTAGATGTGGTCTTTTTTTTTTATTATGAACTCAATTTTTCCATAGCGTGTTAGACGTAAACGCGTATTTGCGTCTTATTAACTTCCTCTTAGAAATAGGGACAAATATGTGCCTTTTACATTACCGAACTAAGAAAAAAACTTTAGACTAAATGGACATTATCTACTTAAATGCGACTTTTCAACTAAGTTTCCGATAAATTCGTCTTTTCATCTTCAATCAGATTTAAAAAAAATACAGAAGCGTCTTATTTCGTTGTGTTAAAACCGCACTGGAGAAAGTTAGCAAAATATTAAAAATACAGGCAGATGCGCCTTTTTTTTCTGATCCCGGCAATGTATTTAACTCAAATCTGGAAAAAATGTTAGATGCGTCTTTTTTACTAACGGGGGCAGAGTGCTATGTAGGTAGTAGTTTCACACAGATAATATACGGATTTCATGGTGACAATATATTTCAGATTATGGAGGTTTATAGAACAAAACATCTGTAATAATAAATTTAAAGATTTATTAGTTCTAGAAAAATACATAAAATCTGTACTCAATAGTAAACATGTGATAGCGTCGAAGCAGTGCTCTCACTCTGAATATATTAAGATATAAGCACAAGGAAGCACTGAAAAGGCTGCTTTACCGCGGTAAATATTAGCCTTACACAACTACAATACTAAACTATCATATACCTAACAAAGATATTTGTTTGAAAAAACAAAACGGAAATTAGATGAAGTGCTTAAATTCCAAAACTTTAATTTAAAATTCAATTTAAATTATTGTAATCAGTCGCAGAATTTAGGCACTAAGCGATGATCAAAACATTACAATTGAATAGAAACTCCAAATTAGAAAAATCAAGAAACTGAACTTTTAATTTGTCAATGTAACTACTGCGATTGTGCGTCCGACATAAATAGGTCAAAGAAATAAACTACAAACCTTAGTCAATGAAAAATGAGTCAGAAATGAAGTTACAAAAGTCGCTTAGCCTAAAAATCTAAAAATGCTTTATCGCCAACAACAAAAACAAAAGATAAACCTCTTAAAATGAATCTTAACTGCACAACCATCAGATTGTCATTAAGATTTGAAAACATCGTAACAAAGTTTACAAAAAAGAATTTCTACTTTATTTACTTAGAAATAAAGGATAAAATTCGAAGAATCAAAACCTAAGTATTAATTGAAGGAAATCAAACGCTGCGCCAGATAGGCATTGTGACAGGCATTGGTCTTGGGTACAGGGCTGGTGGAGGGTTTATGTAGTCATAGGGCAGGTTCACACAGCTTGGCATCGGGGACATGATGGTAGGGTAGACTGGCGCCATTGGCGGAGGCGGCATGGACTGCTGAATGAGGTCTGCTTTCAACATCTGCAATTAAAATTAAATAAATTCAATAATCAGCCACACTATCAAGGATGAATTACTACGGCATTTACGAAAATATAGGTAGTTTCAGAAAATTAACAAGAGATTGGTTGGTTGTTATAGTGGACTTTTATCTTAGTTCCCAAGCAATATTTTTGCCAGCAAACTGCATTTTTATGTACCTATTGGCAAGATAAAAGTCTTATCCTAACAACTTCACAAATTAATGTGTAAATACAGAGGTTTTCACGAGCACAACATTGTAGATATACTTAGTTAGGTACTTATTTGGTCACAAAGCCACACTATGGCATACTAAGAAATAAAATGTGCATAGGTACCTACCTTTATTACTTGTAAAGCACTGTCTGCAGCCTCAATGTGTGCCTGTTGCATGGACATGCAGGGTCGAGTGGCTAAAGGTCCAAGGCGTCTGGGTATGCTGAGCAAAGGCATACCAATGTGTGGGAGCTCCACTCTTCCTATCCAGATCTCTGCACCTGAAGGGTCCAAGTATTTTTGATAGTTGTAGACAGGAGGTGCCCACATGTACCTGTAAAGCAAAAAAATATGTTAGATCTTAGGTTCAAGTAAATCATCATTAGCCTTTAAACGCCTACTGCTTAGCAATGGCCTCATCTCACAAGGTGAAGGTTTGAGCATAAATCACTACACTTGAAGAGAATTGGCACTTTCAAAGTTACAGTTTTTAGCTAGTATACCTACAAGACATTAGAAAAAATATTGTGTCTTGCTTATATCTACATAATAATATGTCCAAGTAGTAAAGATTTATTCCAAGAGGTATTCCTTCAAAAGTATTCAGGTATTTAAAAAAGAACTACTATTTGCTGCCTGTTACCATATGCAGCAGACCCCTATTACACTGGACCTTATTCTGGGAGCATTGGATGTGTTGGATATGTGGCATTATATACATCACTGCCAGTTAATCAGTAAAGATAGTGGCAGGATGGTATATTAAACATTTAAAAGGTAGGTCAAAATAATATAAAATATAGAAAAATCTATGGTAGGTATTCTGGTACAAATAAAGAAAGCAAGACAGTATATTTTAAATTGTGTCTTTTAAACAGACAAATGAAAGATTAAAGTAATAAATACCTTTTGCACATAGAATCAAGCTTAGCTGGTGCCAAGGAATATTGTTCCTTAGTCTTAGTGATCTGAGGGTAGGCAGAACAATTCATCTCTGATGGTGATCCGCATGAGGATTCTCCTGCGCAAGCAGAACCAATACCTTCATCGTCTTTTGGTGATGACATGTATTCTTTCTTCTCAAGCTGTTGTTTGTGCAACCAAAGAGTTTGAGACAGGTTGAAACTGTTATTGAACTTTGCATTCCCTCTGTTTAGTTTCTGAATGCGGTATATTTCTCGAACAACTGGTTTCGCCCACCGTATCTCTATATTGCTGCCATCAATATCAGCATTCTGCAATTTCCTCATTGCCAACTCAGCATGTTCACGATGGTGGAAATGAATGAAAGCATAATCATAGATCTTTTTTACTCGCTCAATTTGATTGTTTATGGCCGCTTCAAACACTGCCTGGATAGTTTCAGGTGTGGTCTTTATTTGAAAGTTCCTAACATAGAGCACCTTTACCTGCAAAAGAATGCAGGTTTAATAAATCAAAATGTTCAATTGACTCAAGTTGCACACAGAAGATGTATACAAGACAATTATAAAAAAAGCGTCGCTACAGCTATGGCAATAAGGTTCAAATTAACTTGGCATCATTGATCACATTATGGACAACTGGTTGATAACGTCGCGGTCGCACTTTGATATTTTTTAATACACAATCGCAGTGCTTTTGTTATTATTAGGCACACTTAAAAGATAAACTTCTAAATTTAAAAGCTCTGTATCGAATTAGCAACATGGCAGGTGTAATATTATCTATAACGCAGCTGTTAGATATGTCTTACGAATGTAAATATTTATGAACAATAGCAAAGGGAACTTTCGTATAGAGCACATGCACGAAGGCAGAGGCTGCGGCAAACATCGCATAGCAACACATTAGAACTTACTCACCCTTTGCATCTGTTCATCGTCGATGTCAGGCTCCGGTTCTGCCCAGTCTACCATCACCTCCTGGTCCCATATCTTCACACAACCGGGAACAAGTGCTCTTCGCGCCATCGCTGCAGCCCTGTGGGAAGTAAACTCCACGAACGCAAAGCCTCTGTTAAGTCTTTTGTCATAGCAATTCTTGTACAGAATCAAGTCAACAATTCCGCCCACGCGCTTGGAAAGCTCTTCGTACACTTCTTCCTTAGTTTTGGTCTTGGGTATATTGCCGACAAAGAGGCGGCAGTTATCCACAGATTTTACGACGCCAATATGTCGCCTTGGTCGAATCTCGAAGCCATTTAATTCTTTTACAGCTCTCGAGGCTTCGGCCTTTGTAGAATAAGTAACGAAAGCGTAGCCCCGGTTGGAGCCGGAGAAATCCATCATTAATCGCATTTCATAGATCTTACCCACTTTAGAAAACACTGGGACCAGTTCATCTTCGAAGATTTCTCTGGGAAGTTTGCCGATGAAGATTTCGCAGCCCTTTTGCGGCGGGGGTCCAACCCAGTCCGGTGGTGGACCAAACTTGCGCTGTCCATTGTGTTGCACCAGCGGGTATCCAGTTTCTTGCATCAGATCCAAGAGTTTCCGCGTCATACACTCTCCTTGCTCTGCCATTTTATTTTAATACGATTTCTAACAATCAACAACTTCAATTCACGCTGCTAATCGACTGATGGCGAAAAAGCGGCAAATCAAAGTAGCGGTCCCCTTTATAGTTTCACCGACAAACATCGGGCGGCGGTTATGACGTCAGAAACGATTCGAATTTACCGCTGACGTTATTTATGTTTGCTGTCTTAAATAATGTGAAAATAAATAGTAAAATCATAAAATAAAATGCTAATTTTAAAGTAATTTTCTTCAAAGAAATCACTTACGTTAAAATGAAATATATATATAAAGTAGTTTTATCATACCTAATTGCATTGTCGGTAACTCAAAGGGATAGAGATAGGTAGGTAGTTATGTATTAAAGTTCCGTTTTCGTTTTTTTTATTTACAAACATTAAATGAAAACGAATGAAAAACAGTGCAACCAAATAAAATATTTAAATACGTAATAAATAATGAAATGTTTTGTTTTTAATAAACGAAAGTATTTTTGTACCTACTTGTTTGAAAACTTTATTACTCTTATTAAATTTATTAATATTTTAAATAAATACATTTTACAAATTTAATAGTCATTGAACTAATAAAATAATAGGATCCTATTTTAAATACATTTTTACATCAAACGTATAATAATTATTATATTTACTTGAAATCAGGATTCGTTGATACGTTTCGTAATATTATTTTTTCATTATTTTCTGAAATATTCAATACAACATTACTTTCGCATAATATAATTACAAAAATAAACGACAATTTATAAGTATATCAGTAAAAAGACAATAAAAACTATATTAAGTATTGATTATTATTTGACTTGTAGTTCAGAATAACGTATTTCGTCAATAGATGGCGCTGATTTCAGTTTTTAGAAAAATATAATGGGATTCCCCTTGGTTATTTAAATACAAGCACTTACGATGCATTTTATCTTACGGTTAGCATAGCACTTTCACAAATGGCAGCTATGCAATGTACCGTAGGCTCAGTTCTTTGCATAATTCACAAATTGTTGTGCTCAGTCTGTGTAACTTGGATCTAAAAATGCTCTCACGACTTCAAATAGTATGTCTATTTGAAGTCAGAATGCTGTTGTATTAGTATGGCTATATACAACTGCATAATTTTTACTATGACTGGGGGAAAATGGCAGGGTGAAAACTGCGCTATGTGAAGCTACCAGAGGTCCAATACTTCTCCTCTATCGCTATTCCCGACTTTTTGTCATTGCTTCATGTGTATGTATATTGCCAAGTGAGTGAGGTCGGGAGCTCCTCATCCCTTTCCGAACCTAAATCACCAAAGCTCTTATCCCCAAAATGAGGGCAACGCACTTTCAACGCTTAAGGATGTCCGTGAGCGTCACCGAGATCTTCACGAAAAGCAGATCTATTATAAATTAATAAAAAAAAAAATGCGATATGTAGCAGACAAAAGTTGAGAATTCTTATTACAAATTTAAATATAATGTTCCATGCAATAAAAAAAAAACAAAGTCAAATTCAAAATTTTTAATATTATCTGTAATACACGACACGTACAAAATAATTATATCCTTAAATCAGTACATACAACACGCGGTAACAGTCAGACTACTATACAGAAAGATTTTATTGAATTTACAACTACTTACAAGATTGAAATTCGATTGGCACGATATATCAATATTCATAGTCAAAGGAATGGAATGTGATGTTATCTAGCTTGTTGATTTTCGCCCTTAAATACAAGAGTCTTATTCAAGCTACGCTTTAGCATTTGTATAACTGTTATATAAATATAAAGATTAGATTATTTAATAGTAATAGTTCGAATAAGAGTCTTTTCGCATAAGTCAAATTGAAAAACCACAAAAAGATAATTATATTTCCAACGTCCTAAAAATTAATAAGTGTGGACTCTAAGGCCAAATTTCGTTTCTAACTAGATACATTTTTAGTGAATCTTGTATGAGACTGTTATGACGTCATATTTTACGTTGTTTAAAATTGAATGTATTAGGTGCAATGATATAGATAACAAGTCAAAATTAATAAGCTTGTAAAATACTATTGTGAAGTCACATTTTACGTAGGTAATCTAAGTATATTTGGAGGCGATCGTTACAATATAAATTGTTCCCAAACACTGGGTACAATTCCAGACTCTATACTAGTAGGTTACTGTAAAAAAATCAAAATCGTGTCATATTGGCTGGATACAGATTTTTAGCCTAACCCCTGGTTTCCGAAAGGCCGATCAATGTTAAAATCAATTTAATCTCTTGTCAAGTCATCTGATTGGTTTACTGAATGATCAACAACCAATCAGATGACTTGACAAGAGATTTAACAGGAGATTAGTTAATTTTAGCGTTGAAAAGCCTTTCAGAAACTGGGTGTAAGACTCTTTGCTCTGTAGTCATACCAGTTCTTGTCCAACGAAGGAGTCAACATATACAAAAAACTTAAAACTAAAATTATCACAATCAAATATTAAACTAAGCACTAAAAGCAGATCTTTGAGATACAATATGAACAGAGAACCCTAACTTAGGAATGATCCACATTACATGAGCACACTAATTAATGCAATATAAACCTTAGAGCTAACAAAATTAAATTCTAAATTCGAACGATAATGAAAACGTTCCACGACAAAGGTTTTTCAAATTATCTACATACATTATATGCTCACAATAATGAATGAAATTTAAACCTTATTAACACAGAGTTAAAATAAAAATTCCAGTACCATGAAAAATAAGATGGAACGGCAAATCATTTATGATGCAAGTAAACTTGAACCTTACTATTCTTAATATATGTGCTAAAATTGATCAACTGATGTCAATACAAAATACAAGTCACTTATGCGAGGTTCAATACATTACAGTTTATACACAAAACACTTCATTTTACTATCACAAGCGCGCAAAAATAAATGATTACTTATATTTATAAATATTTACAATAGCAGAATATAATATTAAAATTAAAATACAAAAAAATAATGATATTACAGAGTTCAATAGGCACAAACAATTATCAACTCCGTTCTATTGATATAAAGTTGATTTTTAATTTACACAAAGTACTTTTATTGAATAAAAATATTTTTATTTAGGTCTTGATACTTGATGAAATACATTGGTCTTGTTTAGTTTGAAAAAAATATGTTACTAACTGTCAGTAGTTAAAATATTTATTGAGTAGGTACCTATTTCCCTTTGTCAAGCAAAAATTATTCTTAAAATCTAAACTAAACTTAATATTAATGTCTATTATTCTATACAAGATTACAAGCATGGGACACGAAACAGTTCGTGTAGAGAAAAAGATGTTTCCACATAAAATAAGAAATTAATATTTTTTCTCTAGTCGATATAATATAATATGAGCGCCTGTTTCGCTAACTTTACATAAGGCCCCGATAAACTTATTAAGCACATAGTAGATAAATATTGAGCTTTAAAAATTAAAATTTGAGCTCATATATTAACTGTGTAATTATCATAAAATACATAACGTTAAGCGTGACCCCTTTATATCCGGAGAGGAGGTACGCAAATGTGAACCGTATAAACGCATCACCTAGTATTTATCAGCTATGTTATCAAACCAATGTTGTGGCTTAGGCTGACAATAGCACATTAAAAAAGGTTTTCATAAAACGATTTGAATCAAAACCGTAATAAAATATCAATAATCTCACAAAAGCAAATTACCTAATCACATTAAAATAAAATCACACTACAACAAAATATATAAATAACATTATTTTTACATTTCAGAATTTTGATCTAGAGCTTTATTGTCGTAGCCACGAGAAGTAGTGACTGAAGCGCCATCTGTGTCGAAGCTTGCGTCAGTATCTATTTCAACGACCCAGGGCTGTATCTCCGCGGAACAGAAAATGCCGTATATTATCGCTCCTATGAGATAGATGGCGCTGGATATAAAGAAGACTATGCGCCATTGTTCTGCAGACTGGAAGAGAGAAAATAATTTTAGATTAGTATTTATATGATTTCAAATTATAATGTGTTGTAATAGTGAAATATGTATAATAAAGGTAACTAAGTGAGTCTTTTATTCAATTTGCGAAAGAAAGATCTGGTCTTTCGGCCATTTTATTTATCTGACAGAGCGACCAACGAGCAGACTGATCATCTGATGTCCTTGACGTCCTTGATATATGCAATCCTCAATTCTTGCTCCAAGAAATCTATTATTTTTCCTCTCCGCCCTTCTGAATGAGATTTATATACAGGAGGAGGTCACTGGGGGCCCAAACCCCCTTGGTTTGGGCCCCCAGTGACTTGGTTACAAGGCGAAGAACAACACAAGCGTTGGTCCACGTCAGTTTTCTGAGAGGCCATGATATTAATCCACTCACGTTGAAGTATCGCTCTTTCATACCATAATTGTTTCATGCGCACATATTGCAAATAATAATAATTTGAAACAATGGCCACACTTATAATCTATATAGAATTCTTCTAGCTTACTACTACATAAGGTCGGAGAATGTAGTTAACAAGTTAAGCGCCATGTAGTTCAACTACGGTGATGTAAGATTTGCCTTCAAATAAGTTTTAGGTTTAGTTGAGCACACATCACACCATCAGCCTACATATATGAGCTTATTAAGCAAAGGCCTCCTCTCATACGGAGAAGGTTTGAGCATTAAACACCACGCTTACTCAAGGCGGACTGGCGATTTGAAACTCATAACTTGCGATGTTTTCGTACGTACGGTAACTTAATAATCATAGACAGTATATTTAACTCGGCAAAAGTCAATTTGGTACTTGCCAAATTTCGACCCTCATGCATGATGAGCGGGACCCTCAACCTCCAGGCTACCACGACACACCCAAAAATGTATATTAATTATAGGATAATATATTTACCATATCAGTGACGATGGCGCCGGCCAGCGGCGGGCTGATGATGCCGGGCAGTGTCGCGATGGTGTTGGACAGGCCCATCAGGACACTCGCGTGAGGGGGCGCTATGTCCAGGTGGTTTACACTGGAATACACAAAGTCATAATTTTATAAATTGCAGAACTATTCAGTTGCATATTTATTGAAAACTAGCTAATCTCGCGCGGTGTCACCCGCTGCTCGGCTCCATTTGATCGTAGCGTGATGTTTTATAGCGTAAAGCACTCAGGAAGCTATCTACCAGTGAAATAGTTTTGGCAGTGAAATAGTTTTGGCAATCCGACCAGCGGGTCCATAGATTACCCCCTTACATACAAACTTACAAATACCTTTTTATAATATTAGTATAGATTTATTAGATTCTTACAGACGAACTACACCATTTGCTTCACTGGCGCCATCTAGTGAAAAAATACAGATAATAATATTATTTTTTGTATTGTTTACCTGAATCCTGACCAGGCGAACCCTCCGAGGCCGACAGCTATAGTAAGAAAGACGATGCACCCTGTCACTGTCGTAGAATACGCTGCAGCAATCATGAATACTGTCTGTAATAGATAAATGTTTATTAAACATCTTATTACTAGCTAATACACCACCATTAATGGGGTCCAACTGGGTCGATGTTAAGCCTCGGAATCTACACTTTGGAACGAGCAAATAGCTTCACTAAGAGGACTGACCGACAGACTGACATTATTTTTTTTTTTAATTTTGTTTGACGTTCAAATGTGCCTGTAAAGGTCTAATTGGAATAAATGATTTTTGACTTTGAGCCATGGTCGCAGGGCACGCGGAATAAAGTACCGCGACCTCGACCTTGGTGACATTAGTCAGTAAGAGTCCGACACTCCCTTTCCCACACCCTAGGCGTGAGAAGCAATTAGATGACTTCCCAAAAAAAAAACCGCCGCACAGAGCCAGCAGACCACCACATATAGGGCCTAAGGCGCTGTCAGGGTCACGGGGTGGTCATAATAACGTTAATAAAGGTACGGCGGCCTCGGACTGCAGCAGGAGAAAGAACAAAGGGAAGGAGAAGGGTATGGAGGGCGAGTTGGAGGGGGATTAGTCAGTATGAGTTTGACACTCGCTTTCACCTCATCGCCTCAACCGACAACAGCCGACCTGACAGAAAACCGGCCTGAGATAATGCTTGCGTTGCGTGTAAGATTATGTGAGGTCCAATTCTCATCTCTCATCTCTTGTATCCCCAATTATTCCCCTCAGTATGCGGCAATTTTAACTCTGGCATTGTTTATGTATATGCGTGGTACCGATTACTTCATATCATAAGGTGATTCGTCAACTAATGTATAATCGTATCCCAAAACAATAATACTAAAAACTTTGCTAATAATATTTATATAAAAAATAGTGACTCACCTGTGATAGAAAAGCCCCGCAGTTAAACAGCTTTCTAATATTAGTCCTGGACATGATTCCTCTCCGCAACAGCCAGTCGGCGATGTGTCCCGCTACTTGTAGTACTATCGCCATCGCCAAGTAAGGCACGGCGGATAACCAGCCCGTTTGTGATGTCTTGAATTTGAATACATCTGGAAATATTTGATTGAAATAAAAATTAACAACAACAAAACTCGATTACATATGTATATATTATTAAACATATTCAATAACATTTTGTATGATGGACGTTGACTAGCGACTGCTTTTCTTGAAGAGCACTAATTGTATATTTTGCCATCCGAATTACATTCAATAATAAGTGCTCATTACTGAGCAATGGCTCTCCTCACACTGATAAGGTTTGAGCGTTAATAATAATGCTAGCTGATGGCAGATTGGTGATTTCAAACTTATAATTAGAAATTATAAGTCCAGGTTTCCTCACGATGTTTTCCTTTACCGTTTTTCAGTAGTGTCTTAATACACTTAGAAGGTACATATGACTTAGAAAAGTCAAATTGCTACTTAACAAGTTTTGAACTCATGTATGAGAAGTTGGAGCCTTCACTACGGGCCACAACGACGTTGCTAACTGAATATTTAAAAATAAAAATTAAATACCTACTCATTAATTTTTTTTTCAGATTGCTTACCATCAGGCAATCCGTCTGCTCGAAATATCCCACAAAAAAGTTTAAAAGTATCGGTTACCTTGCATAAACGTAGGAAGGAATGTAAGCAATGTGTAGAATCCCCAGTTTTCACTAAAATGCGCCATGACGATAGCCCACACCGGCGCAGACTTTAGCATGGCTCCCCATGGATGACGAATCTTCGATCCTTCCACAGCTTGAGTTCCTCGAGAATCCTGGGGTGAAGTAAAACATATGTATAATATTTCTTTTCTTTTTATTCTTTTTTATTAAATTATAAACGTTGCCCCACATTAGGATTTTCTCCTGTGTCGTGGGTGCGGTTACAAACATACAATTTCACATAAACATACCACCTAGACCCAGAACAACAATTTGTGGGTCACACAAAGAGTTGTTCCGTGCGGGAATCGAACCCGCAACACGTTGCACGGCAGCCAGTTGCCCAGCCACCGCACCAACCGTGCAGTCATATTCTAATCAACTTCGAAATGAAATAGGTACGCTCACACAATTTCTACATGTGAAGAATACGCTGCTGGAGTACACCCAAACTTAGATCCTAAATAATAAATAGAACTTAGATCTCACACTAGGTCATACTTTTCCTTCCCTCCCGACAGACCCACCGAATATTCATAAATATACTGTGCTAATTGATTTTCTATGGTAATAAAATGTTTTTAACCTCAAAGCATAGCTTACCTGAATATACTTGAGTTCAGCGGGAGATATATGGGGATCCTTCTCGGGAGATTCCTTCACGACCAGCCACCATATCGTAGTCCAGATCAAACCAGATAGACCTGTGATAGAGTTTAGAAAATGATATTTAATTACCTAATTAAAGCTTTTCGAGTTTTATAATTACACCGATAACCCATATATAAAACATATATTTTAATATACATAGAACGTTATTAGTATGAACTATATCTTTGACAAGGAACTCGACTAGTTTCGAGCCACACTAGGGGCTCATATTCATGATCTGCTATGCTATTCTCAAAAGTTAACTTGCGAAATCAGTTTTGAATCCGCAGTGAAATCATGTGTGAAAGGAACTAAAACAAGTGAGTATTTTGACGGTTGCGTACAGGCGAGGTGAGATGCGAAGTGGTGTGTGACTTTCGAGATGAGATTTACCATTTACAGAATAGCACTGCAGTATTACAAGACACGCGGTGTTTGTTGCACAGTGAAGTAAATAGAGTCAAGTCCTCGTCAAACCACAGTTATTTCATTGAGTCGTATATCAATAGTAATAAGTAATAGAAAAAATATATATATTAAAAATTCCTGTCTGTCCTAAAAACCACCGCTTGGTCGCGCTATTTATTATCTGCAAATTAATAATAACTTACCAAATACATAGAAGATACCAGGCCAGCCGGTGTAATGGGCCAGCAAGGAACAAATGGGCATGGACACGACAGTCCCGGCGTAGCTGCCGCTGAACGCGAACGTGGCCAGTCGGGCGCGCTCTGGACCTGGCGCCCAGCGGGACCATACCGCGTGGATACAGGGATATGTTACACCCTGGAAGGATAAGATGATGAGAATTATGATAAATTATTTTCGAAAAATAGTAAATATTTACTAAAAGGCAAATTCTTACTCAGGTCAGGATTACAAACAGACGGATTACCTGAAGGTAAGCAATCAGCGCCGCCCAAGGACACCCGCAGCACCAAAGGAGTTACGAGTGCGTTGCGGGCCTTTTGGGATAAGGGTTTCGGATATTTAAGGACCCTTCCCAATGGTAACTAGTTCGCTGTAGGCGTTAAACGCAAGTTTTTTGTGAGGCCGTGATATCACTCCGTTCGAGCCGACCCATTCGTGCCGAAACATAGCTCTCCCACACTTAGATTGAATTTTGACTTCCAAATGAGAATTAAATAAATTCGACAGAATGGCTGGGCCACTGGCTGCTGGGCAACGTGTCGCGGGTTCGATTCCCGCACGAAACAACACTATGTGTGATCCGCAAATTGTTGTTTCGGGTCTAGGTGACCTGTGTATGTGAATTTGTATGTTTGTAAAGGCAGCACAGAAAAAATCCTAGTGTCGGCCATTTTAGTTTCATAGTCATCATCTACCAGTCCATAGCCACCCACACCCATAACCATATAATTTTCTACTATATTGCACAATAGTAATGAATCAACCGGGTATTGTCCTTGGGTGCACTTTTATAGTGCATACAGGGATAATTGCCGGCTAATGTCCCATCACATTTAGATTAAAACTGTGCAACGGGCCTCTGCGAGTTGGCTTTGGCTCCTCGTACGCCTTCCAAAGGTCCGGGACCCTGTGGTGCCGTGAAAGGAAAGAGCAAACATAATAAATTATGTATAAATAAAGAATTTACCTCAAAGAACCCCTCGATGACTCTGACTGCAATCAGCAGGCCGGTGCTGGTGTGAGCTAGCGGCGGTGTGAATAATGTCAGGAGAGATGTTGCACCGATGCCTATCGCAAACACTCTGTAAAGAATACAAAAAGGCAACGTTATTTTAAAGAAAAAAAAAATAAGTTAAATATTACTTAATCTCGTTACATCACATCACCAGCTCATAAGTGGTTAATGCTGAGCAAAGCAAACGCCATTTCTCGCAAAGTGAAGGTTTGATCACCAGCAAGCTTGCTAAAGGCGGATTGGCGACTTGAAACTTATAATTAGAAATTGTAAGTCCAGTTTTCCTCACGATGTTTTCCTTAACTGTATGTGACTGATGTCTAAATAATCATAGAAAGTACATATTACTCGGCAAAATTCACCAATACTTGCCATGTTTAAAGCCGGGGCACCCTCGTGCATGAGAGCCCGCTTCTCAATCTCCAATTGTTCCATAAGAGCTATCTATCTATCCGATTGATTAAGATTGAATGCTTTCATTTAAGACTGGGAAATGAGGCAAGCAAACACCAGAACCCATCAATATCTACTTCATCCCCCCCGGTTGTTGAGTCTAATATTCGATATGGCTTTTTGCTTGCACGGATATTCTTCAGTAGAAGCACAGAATCCATTATTAAGCTCGAAATATGGCAATAACTTCATTTTCATGACATTGCGTGTACGTGTGCAGATGTACACCTCTGCCTTCGACCATCTTTTTAGGGAGAAAAGAATTAAATTATATCTAATGCCTAAGATATTAAAGTCTATTGTTCTATAAAACGGAACGAACCTGTTACCTCCTATTTTAGCCGCGAGCCAGCCGCCAGGCAACTGTGTAATCAGGTAGCCGTAGAAGAACGAACTCAGCACTAGGCCCTTCGTTTGTGAACTCCAGTCGAATTCTGGAATCTGGAGAAAATAGGCAGTTAATAAATTTGTTAAAAAAAAAAAATTTCATGTCTTGTTTAGGCAGTACAAAAAAATGAAAAAAGGAAAGATTATATTTGAGCGGGGCCTCAATAAAAAAGCAACAGTGAAATAAAAAGTTTTAACAGCGCAAAATGGCCAGTGCTTAGTTAGCTAAATGCTTAGGCCTGGGCGCGTACAACTACATGACTTTAACTTAAAGCATTGATAATAGTTACAACAACTAAAACGTCATCACAATATAGTTGGAAGTACTGTAACTCAGTAGAATATAAGTTCAGATGTTAAAGTTGTAACCGCAACAGTAAATATACCAGATACCAACAGGACTAAGAAAAAGAGATGAGAGGGTACTGAATGAAAACCGTTCATACAACAAAGAGTTCCTAACCTTATTTCTAGTTTAGATACCAACATACAAACAAAACTAGTCTGAGCGCCAAAAAAAACTAAGAACATAACCTATAAACATGTTTTCATACAAAACCTAAGCACTTTCCGTCACAAAGGGGCAAGTGGGCCAACATTTCAAGACGACTTTACTCCGAAGATAAATTACACGTACTAAGTAACGAGCATAATATGGAAGCTGAAGCAATAAATGCTTAACATATTGAGTATTAAAAGCCTCTTAGTGTAAGTGTATTGGCGATTAGTCGGTAGCCAATAAAACAATACGGTTGACTGGTTTCAGTATAGGATGAAACTATTAACACTGATTGCTTCTATTATAAGGGATGCTTGGTACGTATATGTTTAGATTTGATGTAATTGATTGGTTTACTAGACTGGGGTGAATGTTTTTTATGGCACACGTAAGCAAACGAGCAGTCTAATTACCTGATGGTAAGCATTCGACACATGGACACGCGTATCACTAAAGAAGTTGCTGCGACTGCGTTTTGTGGGATGTTAGGCATTTAAGGATTGAGTGCGAAGGGCGGAGAAGGGTTGGGCCTTCGGTAAATGTCATACAGTGTGAAGACGGTATGAAGATTAGGTATGTTTATCATTACCCCTGTTCTTCCTACGAGTGTTAAAAGACCTGACAAAGCGAGTACACATTATACCGAGACCGAGTAGCTGCGATTTTTAATTACCCTAAGCGTTAAGCGCCACGGAGGTCACCGGTGACCGACGGTAGCGGAGGATTTGCTTTCAATAGTTTTCTGTCAGCAGTCAAAGGCTTAATCCGCGAATCTCCAACTAGACCAAAATATACAAATAACAATTGAGTACTTACAAATACAACAGTTCCATTATCAAGTTTGGTTTCCACGGGCTCTGTCATGGCGACCACAGCGACTGACAGGTTGACTCGAAGCGCGTACACGTTGAAGAAGCCGAAAAACGCCAGCAGCGCCACCACCAGCCGCCTCCGCCGCCAAAAACACCATGTCATCTGGTGGTCTTTGGACTGCTCCCTGCAAAGAAAGGAAAAGTAATGAGACAAAATCAAGATTTTTTATTTATTTCAATTTGTCTGAATAAGACATGGACTTCTTATATTTCTTTCGAGACGTTTGCTTAGAGATTTATCTGGCATTTAATAAATCCACGAATAAACATATATCCTGGATTATACCTGGACATAGGCTGACACATACCACGCGGTCGAAGCCGCAGGCGGAAGCTAGTACCAGAGAAAAATGGGAACATTAATTAATAACACAGAAGCCAACAAAGTAAGACAAGGCAGTAATTTTAAATATTAGTTTGAAAAATATTCTCGACTTCGTTTTTAAAGTACCTATTTATGGTTTAATTGGAAAAAATGATTTATGACTTTGAATATTTTTGAAAATGACCTTAAATAACACCTCCAAATTCACTCACTGCCAAAAGGATATTTCTTCAGTCTTCAATCAAACCACGATAAAGCCAGAACAATTTATTTAGAACCGCGAACACACTTCCAAGTGATTGGAAGTAATTAATTTACCTGTCCCGAGGCGAAAGATAAGGTGAAATTTGTAGAACAATTGGTTTGGCGAACCAATTTTTCTTATAAACTGGTTTAAAACAAGGGAAATCTGATTCGTAAGGCCGCAGCACAATTATGTACGTTATTGGAGCTCAACTGACTCCGAACTATCATTGGATGTGGTGCTCAAACTTTAAAAATATATGTTTTTCCAAAGACGCAGTGGTCAACAAATTGACGATATTAAGTTAATAACTAAAACACCATAGCAATCAGACGTAAACACCAAAAAGCAATCAAAAGCAATTTTAAATTTCTCCTACAATTATTTCGAAGTCATATACATATTATTTGGAACAATTAAACGTTTAAGATATTAAAACGCTTTCTACGTAAACAATTAGTTCATATTAAATTGTGTTTACTTAGAAGTTTGACAATCGCTGATCTAAAAATGATTGACTAATTCGAAGTAATGGCGTCGTATAATACGCCTGGTATATGTTACAAACTTTGTTGTGTAAAGACGCGCACCAATACACGCCTATATTTATTTAACCTCTATAAAAAAGTTAACACTGCCCGTTATGGGTGGAGAGCAATCGTGTTTCGATTTTGTCGAGTGTTACTTTCTTCAGCAAAGTTTCAAGTAAGTGAATTTGGGCACACTTATATACGTACAGGGGTTTCGACTCAAGCGCTTGATGATTTACCCCCTCAAAAAACGTACTCCCACAGATCTAAACTGGATTTATGAGTAGATACTCCGATAAGGCAGCGACAGTTAAAATAATAAGCGTGGAGCCATGCTTCAAGCCGAATGGATCAGCCCGACTGGAGTGATACTACATATGTATACGGCCTCATAGAAAGTGGGCATGTACAAGTGAGGTTTGTTGCGGACCGGAGGCCCAGGTCTTACTCTTTCAACTTCAATTCACAAATCCCTTAACCCCGAATGGCTAACGACGGATCTGTTACACATAATTATGTCTCGATGTTGCAAACGTCTTGAATGATGATGATGAGTGAGACACAATATAGGATATGTGTCCCTAAATAGGTTACTTTAACGGCTGGATAGCCCAAATGATTAGAGTAAAACAACAGAAAATTTTAATAATACTTTTTTGGGTGGGGGTGAGGATATTCCTCCAATGACGAGAGAGAGGTAGTGTCAGACTCTGACTGACTGAATTAAAACCCCCCGTTCTTCTCCTATTCTAGGCCGAGACCGCAGTGCCTTATACATATATACCTACATAACCAATCTCCAACAGTAACAAAACGAACAGAGAATATCTCAGTATAAATTCCACTCTCTACCTATAGAAAAACTAATCGGTCAAGGTTTTAAAACATGTTTTATAAGAATGCTAACCTATAGGACACATTCCTACTAAACGACATATTCACAAAGGCAGACAATTGCGCATTAGAATATGTTAAGTTTAGCCATCACACCTTATATTACACAAGTACACACTGTATATCGATTACTCGATCAGCTTATTAGTTAATTAATAATTCTGTTTACGTATTATGAGACCATTAAATCTAAAATGCCAATGTTGATAAAGTTGGTAGCAGATATCATACAAGTTCTATAACCAAAATAGAAACAAATATTTATGTTTTGGTGTTTGGAATCGGTCTGACATACTTCTGTATTTTTTGGACGAGTGAAAATTATTAAATGACTTCTGCCTAGTGTATGGGAAGAAGAAGTGTTAGACTCCTCCGTTTCTTCTTCTGCTCCAAGCCAAGGCAGCAGTATCTACTTTTTGCGCTTGCCCCGCAACACCGACTAAACATTGGCACTGTTGGGCCCCTATACTTATAGCTTAGGGCTTGTGACATGGCATCAATTAGATTATTAGACTATATTCATAGATTCTTTAATTATACTTTTATTAGATACCTTAATTGTAAATAAGGTGACTGCTTATAATCTGAAACTTTTTTATCGCATTAATAATGCAGACAATTTTTTCTTATTTTTATTCTGACTTAGCGAATAGGTACTTGAGCTTTTTTGCACCTATTATTAAAATGGTCTACAAATGCAATGTACCTATTACAGTTACAGCATATTAAAAACCAAATATGTAGGTCATATAGGCCGTGTTCTGAACGAAAAATTGCTAACATACCAGTCAGAGTAACCGCTGTAAACATCGATAGTAAAACATGTTTACCTCATTACAATTTCTAGCCAAGAGCGTGTTCAACATTTGAAACAGGGAAAAAAAAGAAAATGTTCACGCATTCATTTCACGGCAATTAACATTGGAATGTTATTAAATTGGGTCCGTTTTAGAGTGCTCCTACTAATTAATGGTAAATTAAATACGATGCTATGTATATTTTTCAAGAATGCCCGCTGGAGGGTTATTCCGAAATGCCTTTTTCTGCAATTATAACGGGGTCGTGTTTGGGAGGGTCAGCATTTTTTGTTGGTTGTGCAAATCTTTTTTTTCCTTATACTGTTAAAAAGTGGGAAAATTAATTGATATTCTTTTAAAAAAAAGATCTATTATCAACGATAGCTATAATTGGGATTTTCAATTTAAAATTGACACCTATTTTAGATCGTCACCTATATATCTGCATCAGTATTTTGCTGTCCTGCACCATTAACAAATCGCAAAGTTACAATACATGTCTATCTTTTGGAATTAGGCAAAACAGGCATACTTTTACCAAATAGAAATGCTAAATAACTTTAAATATCACAAGAGATTATTATCAATATTTAAATCACCCGTCTATTATTTCTTGCAACATACCGGCCACATCTGGCAGTATGTGTATTCTGGCATTGATATGGCTATCACGGATCTTTTGCAACAAACGAAAGCGCGCTTCACTTTACAATACTTAGATATATCATTCTGGAAATTGCACACATTTATATTTGCAATGCTAACTCCATGTTTAATATACGTAAATATAAGCAAATGCATTATTTAGCATATTTTCTTGACGGGTCATTTGCCTAAGCCGACCGTGACCGCAACACAAGATTTTCTTCAATCGTTAAATTCATTTTTTCTGCTAATGAGCGTATGAGTATAAATTGCCTTATTGAAAGAGAATAGAAATTCTTTTCATAGTTTTGGTTTGTTTTACATAATTGAACCAACTGTTTGTAAAAGGAATTTGTATGTGAAACTGATTTAAAAAGAGTAACCATGGAGTTTCTTGCTCGTTCTTCTCCATCGGAATCTACACTTTGGAACGAGCAAATAGCTTCACTAAGAGGACTGACCGACAGACTGACACTATATCTTCAAAATTTTGTTTGACGTTCAAAAGTAATTGGAATAAATGATTTTTGACTTTTTTTGGTTTGCTTTTATAGCTGCCGAAAGGTACAAATGAATGGCAATTTTAACCTTGAATTATAGCTTTCTCGTAATCCTGTCTGTTATTACTTGATATCAATTACAGTGGTTACAAGAATTCATAGAATTTGACACCATTTAATTACCACAATCGAGCCGGGAAAGACAATATTCGCGGCTCAAAATACAATATTTTCCTTTACCAAAGTTATTCAGGTCGTGGTTACAAGTATCGAGTTAAAAGCTATTTCGTAACCAGCTAGTTTAACAGGAAAATTGGTAACGAAGAGATATTTTGTTAGGTAAAGTGATAGAATGGCAAAGCCGACTTGTATCGAAGATAACAACCTGTTTTTACATTTTGCCGTATGATTATGATTTATTTGTGCCTTTCTTTAAAGTTCACTTCGACTTGTGCTGTAGAAAATAACGAGCTGTTTGATATTTGTTTGTTGTTTTGGTAAATGTGATTTACTTTCGAAATGTTAACACACTGATTGGTTACGCTAACAGCAGAAAGCCGGCTATAAGTTTAAGATTATCTTTTGGAACTTTAGGCAAATGAGACATTAGATGCCCATCAACGATGAGATTAAACCTTTATTCCGTTCACCTTAAACCATGTTTTTTATTATCATTTTTATCACAGAAACTTGTAAATGAATCCAGTCAACAATAAACACTTTGTGATCCTGAGTAATCCTGACCTCTCTAACTATTTAACACGAACAATTTTCCCTATGTTCTTTTATGATTAAAGCGCGATAAATATGTTAAACAAAGGTTTGAAACTCACTTAGTATTAAAAGAGTTCATCTGCACTGGACATAAGATCTAAGATAGGTATGCACTTTTTCTAGAAAATTCCACAGTCGTCCGATGGTTACCACTTTTCACTATAGAATAACCTCAGAACCCCATAGTACGTGCTTATAGCGATAGCAGCGGAACCTCGAATGCCATGACTGAGTTATTTTAGTTGGCGACAAAACCATGCTTAAGTATATTGTAGTATATTTATAGTTAGGTATGGAAGGTCGCCATTGTCGTATGAAATGGAATAGGTTTCGCATTAGATATTATGGCTTAGTAATGGTATCAACATTTATTTACATAGCTAATGCTGTCTAGCATATTACGTCAGTGATGTATA